TTTTTGTATAGACTCTCTGAGTCGTTGTAGTGAAGTTGTCCCCAAGACTTACCCAAGCAGGCTTTTTCAAGCTGGCTCCTTTTCTTCTCCGCTTTTTTTTCAATTTCTTCAATGCACAAGTTAATAAAAACCTTTGTGGTTCTTATATCTCACGAAGCTTTGACCTTATCTTTACTTATTATGCTATAGACCAATTACAACACTTCAGTCATCACAAGTTTAACCCAAAAAGCATGCCATTCAGTTCAGGAGATATGATATAACAGGTATAGTATTTAACAAGTATAGTCGCACGTTCTATGCCATTCATGTCAAGTTAAATGAAATATAACATTTAGGTCAAAATAACAGATCCTTTGTCTCCAATAAATCACAAATAATGACTTTCTTTTTTCCAGCAAAATGAGGTCTCATTAATAATGCAACAAGAAAGGCATGTTTAATATCAAAAGAATAACACAAAAGCATAACTTAATATACAAAGTAAAGAGACTAGCCAAGAGTTTCAATTAACCATTTCTAAGACATTAGAGAAAGAATAAAATAACCTAGTAATTAAATGTGCTAGACGGATAAATAAATCTCCATAAATTCCATTTGCTACAAGGTTCATAATAGCACTTCATAAACTAGCCAAGAACCCCAAGACAAGTTCCGGAAAGACTTTAAATGACACCATACTTCATTCCAAAAGTCCACAAAAGATACTTCTCGAATAAAATGAAAGATTTTTTATTCTCAATTACAAACTCAAAACACTACACGTAAAACATATATCTCTCCAATATCCAAATTCACAATGAGAATATTTCAAGACAGAAATCAATCTAATTGACTACTTGTTCCATTAAAAATCCATGATCATTATTCCAAATGAAGATAGGAAATCTTCACTGTATTTAGACCACATTCTCCCAGCTAATTCCTTGAATAAATAAGATTCCTTCCAGTATGGCTCCTAACCATGCAAGTGATTTGTAACTGAATTTAACTCTCCACAACCTTCCTGAAAACCTCAAAAGCCTCAATATGCATATTCATATCAATCAAATTTGCCCATTGATTTGTCAAAAGATAAATTTTCCACCTCAAAATCTAGGCTTCCAGTTGTCTTACCACCTTTTGATCATCAATGATAAGCTAGATCAATCACATGGATAGAGTACATTCAACAAAGCAACCCCAAATAGGCAAATACAATCCCTTATCACTTCATGCCTAAGCAAGAGAAGGTCTAGCCCTTAATACAAGAACCTATTATATCTTTCTCCAGGACCTAAATAAACAGCCTAACCTACACAGTATACCATGTGTTGATCTTAGAAAAAAACAAATAGAAACTAAAAAGGTTTAATGGAGCAAGAGTAGGGTGAAGATAGAAAAAGAAATATTGAACTTCATAATTATACGCAGGTAGCAATCCACGAGCTCATAAATGGAGAAGCCCCTCAGAATGAAAAGAGTATTCAAGTGTTTTGTCTCTAAAAGCACAACCACGAAACATCCATAAGATAAAAAAATAAGAACAATTTGAGCAGCACAAGCACCCACGAGCTCTACCTAAAATGCTGGATCTAACTGACGGAACCAAACACGGCGACCTGAGCAACCGACAACCGGACGAACTGAAAACCAAAGATATCAGAAATCTGTGGATGGATCGGGCAACCCAATGTGTGATCTTCTTTTGGCAAGTCAAGTAACCTCACCAGCATCGAAATTCGCAGGCTCAACTATCTCACCAGTGGCAAGAAGATCTATTGAGTTTCAGAAGGGGCGACAGTAAAGGAATGATATGCTAATGTGTTCTTGGTGAAAATCCATTGTTGGCAGAGTGTGTTCTTGGTTTTTCACTATTGGGAGCCCAGAAACACCTCACCAGCACTGAAATTCCTAAGGGGTAAACGATCTCACTGGTGGCAACAAATTTTTAGAATTTCAGAAGGGGCGACGACACTGGAAGAACGGGCAAAATGGGAGAAGAGGCAGAGTAATTTTCATGCATTTTCACCATTGGAGCCTTTGACAGGAGTAATTATTACTCCAACGACCATATTTTCATTCTTCAAAAGCAAGAATTTTCAGCTTATTCGAAAACCATGATTTAGCTGGCCAAAACCAAGGGTGCTGAAACCATGGTTAAAAAAAAAAGGGTGTTTGGCAATCAGCCTCCCCAAACCATGGTTTGGGAGTCAGAAGCACTTTTGGAGCAATTGCCAAACACCGCCTAATCTTGCTCTTGTTGGAAATCAAAAATGATTTTTTTTCCCAAGCTTTTGCAAAAAAGAAAATTTGTGTAGTTGGTAGATTTTTTTTTTACTCTGGATTTGATTTTAACAGTTTATATTTTATTATTTTCTCTTGAAATACTAAATGGGAAAACTATATTGGAGGTACTATACTTTTTTTCAATTTTTAATTTGGTACCTATGTGTTTTTTGTTCTTAACTAAATCTTTATTTTTCCTCTATTAACATCATTAATCCTTATGTAGAGACTAAAAATATCAATAGAACAAAGTTATAAGAGCTAATGTTGCTAAAAAGATAAAATTAAATGTTTAATTAAAGGGAAAAAACACATAGGTACCAAATTAAAAATTGAGAGAAAGTATAGGTACCTCCAATATGGTTTTCCCATACTAAATCGTATTTTTAATATAAGAGCTAGTTGACTAATTTGAATGGATTAAGAAAATTATTTTAGTTTGTTATTTATAATAAATAGGTGTTGTTTTTCCTAAAATATTCTTGTTAATCAACTGTATTGGCTAGGATTACTATTATTACAAGGATTCCTTTGAGAAAAAAATAAAGAAATATGAGAGATAAAATGAATCGAGGTTTTATATTTAAAACCAAAATAAAAGTTAAATGAGTTCTTATATTAAAAACTGGAGGTTGTATTATTTTTTGCGTAATTTGAAAATTGAAATTTAGATATTGATAGAGTAAAAAAATTGTAATTAACAATTTATTTTAAAAATATGTTTAACATTTTATTTCAAGATACGATGTGTTTTGTGCTTTCTATCATTTATTGTGATAATAAAAATATAGAGAGCAACTTTTTACTTTATTTCATATAATGAAAAATAAAAAATAAATTTCCAGTAAAAAAGAAAAAGAAAAATATATATAAGTTGCAAGAACGCTAACCGTGATACCGCAACCTGCAACTGTAATTGGTTGCTCGAATTTGAATAAACTTGAGAACTTGTCTCGGGTCTCACACTTCAAAGTGTTAGAAGCATCCAGAAGTGCTGAATGCAATCCCGTAGATTGTTACCAGTCCTTAAGGTTCTGTAACGATGGTGAGCTAATTATCAAGCTCTTCGCTTCCCGAATCGTGCCGATTTTTCCTTTTCATTTGAAAATTGGAGTTAAAATTTCTATTATCCGTACCCAGTCATTACCAATTTTAAATTGTAAGATTTTTCCAGCTACATTGCGCACTGAGTTTGAAGTTTTGATCAAAACATGAATTTAGAGCTTTGCCAATTTTTGGTGACGTTTATTCTGTTTCAATTCATCGCCCATGTTGAATTGAATCCGTTGTGGTCTTGTTTTGCCCAAATTTATCTTTCAAACTTTCGTGAATGTTGGTTTATCTTAGCAAACTGACTCTTGTATTATGCAATCAATCCCCTCTTTCTAACGATCGGGGATCGAGTTGCTTCTAGACAGTGCTGTGATCTAATCGTCTGTTTTATTTATATTGAAATGAATATGTCGAAGTATCCTTAGTCTGTAAAACCTGGTTTTCTATAGATAGATTAATCATAAAGTGGCTGGCAAGGGGAAAAAAAAAGATTAATCATAAAGTGGCAGAGAAAACAAGGGGGCCGCCCAAGGTTAGTCTGTAAAATCTGTTTCTAATCCCACTTTGTCCAATTTCTTATTTAGTCAGCAGCAGAAGCATTTCTTACAAGTTCTGAATGGAAGCTGTATTGTTAAGCACCGGGTGTTTGTTTCTGTATTCGTAATATTTACTTTTGTCACTTTACCCTCGTTGCCGGCATTTTTGTTCGGTATCAACACTAGTGTACCCCGAATTCTTAGAAATTTATGTGTGAAATTAATGGACTACATGCAGTTATGGTATCAGCACCATCACCATCTGGAATCAATGTATAAATTCTGTCAACCAGTGAACTGATTGCTCATATTTCCCCAGCCTCAGTCTATAAAATAGAGGTGAACTTGATGTCAAGGGCTTTGGTTTTGATTGCTGCCCCTTTCCCAGTTCATTGTTTCCAAGGCCTTCATCCCTCCCTTGTAACAAAAAATCATATTGCCCTCCCAGTGGAACCTCATTTGTTGTTGGAAAACTCATTCTGAGTACATAACAATTAACTGTGACAAAACCATTTATGTCTTGTCATATGCGTAGTCTGTCATCTAAATAAGTTGAGTGATTGCGAGTTAATGGGCTGGACTGGTATCTGTGATCTAATGAAGTGTTAACGTTGTAATTATTATTGTCAACTTAAATTTCGTTGGTAGTTTACTTATCCGGTGCCAAATTACAATGTATATTAGGCTACTCCATTTCTAGCTGGCCTTGCTGTAGCTGCTGCAGCTCTTGCTGGTAGGTATGGCATTCAAGCTTGGCAAGCTTTCAAGGCGCGGCCCCCCAAACCCAGAGCACGTAAATTCTATGAAGGTGGTTTCCAGCCAAATATGACAAGAAGAGAAGCAGCTCTAATTTTGGGTATCAGGTGAACATGATACATCGCTAATTTCTTTTTTTATCCATTGATTGCTTATGGCTGTTTTAAGTCAAGTCATAGCTGTTCCAACGTGATTCCTTCTATCCAATTGGAAGAATAAATTTGTTGATCAATTTCATTGATAATTGGTGAAAGATGAATATTGAAGTGAAATATCTAAGTAGATACGGATCATATTGATGCTTTCAAATTGTTTTAAGATTCAGTGCACTAGATATAGAAAGTGTTGCTGTTTGAGAGTATTTGTCTCGTGCTTTATTTTGCCAGCATTTGTCTTGTGTTGTTGCAACATATAGTGAATCGATAACTTTACGAATTTCATTGTGCACAGTAACATTTTTCACCATGTCTTGCTGGTTTCAAAATAAAGATAGGGAAGAAATAGGGAGGTGTGCTATTTGTAACCGGTGTTGCTGAAAGTTAATGCATGGCATCTTTTATATTTGCCCATGGAACTTATTTGTCTTTTGAGGCTGTTGTTGAGTAATAGTATCTTTTTTTTTAATGACAAAAATGTTGTGACATCTAGTGATACAATGGACAGCTATTTGATGGTCAAGGCTCATAAGCAACAGCTCACAAATTTTAAGCATTGCTCATTGAGAATATTTGCCTTTGTTGTAGTAGTATATGTGTGAATCAATAATATTATGATGCTTAAAATATCAAACGATGTTATTCACCGTGTCTTACTGCTTTTATATTTCAAAATAATGATGGGGGAAGTCCTAAGGCGAGTTATTTGTAACCATGACCGTTGAAGGTTATTATTCTGTAACATCCTTTTTTTGGGGATAAAAACTTGTGACTTCTAGTGATACAACGAACTAATATTTATTGGTCAAAGCGCATAAGAGGCAGCTTTTAAATTTTGAGCTTTGCTTTGATCTTTAAGCACCCATCTATTACTGTGATACTGACCTCGTACCTGAGGCCTTTAACTTTCTCCCGTGCTTCTGTACATCCGTTGAAAGAGGACACTGCGTTGGCCCCATGAGATGAATGCCATGTGCATCTACTTTGAAAAAAATCAAGGACTTATGGGGATTGCTTGAAGCAGATAAGTGAAAGTTCAACCCTTCTACGTGAGCATTGGCCAAAACCATATTGTAAAGTCTGAGTTGTCATTCTAATTGATTACCCTATGTTCACTCTGTTCCGGTCCCCGCACACGCATTCACTCACAGACACTCACAGTTTTAACTAAAGGAGATAATAAAGGCCTGTTTTTGTTACGAAGTCATCTAAAGTTAAGATGTTCTGTGGATGAATAGGGAAAATGCTACTCCAGACAAGGTGAAGGAAGCACATAGAAAGGTAATGGTGGCAAACCATCCCGATGCAGGTGGCAGTCATTATCTTGCATCCAAAATAAATGAGGCGAAGGACGTAATGCTCGGAAAGACAAAGGGTGGTGGATCCGCATTTTAACAAGCTTGGAACTGTCTTTTTGCTCGGACATGTCACTACTGAGGTACATACTACACAGTCTCGTAATTTTCAACGTTGCACATAGTAAACTTTCATCTGTACCTCGACGGATTGAACTATGCATTGTAATAGTCAGCAATTTTTCAGGTCACCAGATGTCCAATGTCAGTTGATATGAACACATGATACATATCAATATCAGCAATTATGAAGATTAAATCCTATGCAATACGCTTGGTATTGCCATCTTCGTCTCACCAAAACTTGCCCGCAGGCTAGAGAAAAGGCTGACTTTGCTATTCACATCAAGGAGAATGGTGCGAAGTGTTAGTGTACGTGTCAAAAATTAAATAGTTGGAGGAAAGAAAATAGAAAAAAAAAAAAAAACAAGAAAGGAGAAATAATGCATATGCCTTAACAAATGTATCTCTTAATACCTCTTAAATTCAGAAATCGTTTCTTCAATCTCATACCCTTATCAGTTATCACTAGCAACATTTTTCATTCATTGAGATGCTCATTTATACATGCCACCATTGGCTTGAGCAAGATTTTTGGTAGGGAATTGTGCGATTGGTGAATATAAGTTCAAGAAGGGGAGTCTACTTTCTAAAGAGTTGGTAGATGACCTAAAATTTGGGCTGTATTTAAGAATTTTGAATTTGCTTGTGACTTTTCTCCCTTAAAAAAAAAAAATCAATGATTGGCTTGTTGTAATTTGTAAATGAGAAAAAAAAACAATTGGATTTATGTCTTCTGTTAGCCAATAATATATGTATAAAATATTTATATATCTGTATGTAGGAAATAAAATCTACACAAGTCTGTCCTATTTAATATTTATAACTCAAGACATACGCTTACAATTTCGTATCGTCATTATATTAAAAGAATTGGAATTTTCAATGTAAATTGTATAGTTACATGCCATCTCCAATACAATCTGTTACGAAGACCTACGATACCCCCTGCTTAACTTCTTCCTCTGATGTTAATGGGTTGAAGATTTTGGTTTTGTGATCCTCATTTTTTCAGGGGTGTTATACTGATTTATTGATGCAATTGTCCAAAAAAAAAGAAGAAGGAATTCAGCAGAAAATTGAAGAGAAAATATTTATTTTCCGCTTCTTGTATAATTTTCTAATACAAATCAACTTTTTTATTCACAAAAAAATTAATGATTTAATTCATGAACTCAAGGATAAATTTTAAGTAATTGCAAATATAACACACTAGAACTTCTGATACAATTTTGTTCCTTCAACGCAGAATTGCGTAAACGGATAAGCACTGGACTTTTGTAAGTTTCTATTTAAAGATCAATGAGACTATTAATAATCTGATCGACAATTACAATAAGGTTAAGTGGCCCTAAAACATGACCCTGCACACATGGCCCTTACGTCAGCGATTATCCATTCAGCAACCATGGCATTATCCAAATAAATAATCATTGTTTATTTTATTTTATTTTTTCCTCATTTTTGGCCGGAGAGACAACCAATGTTTTATTCTTTTTGTTTTGTTTTTTTTTTTTTAAATAATTGGAATTTTTTTAAGAAAAATAAATGATAGGCTTGAGGCTTCTCTTCTCTGCTTTCTCGTATTCTTCTTCTTCCTCTGCCACCCATATCGGGCTCAACACAAGTTCTGTCCGAAGTCACCGCTTAACACACCTTATCGAAGGGGAATCTTATCCGTATACTTTCTTTGTATTTGTTTCACTCTCTTCATCTATCTCTCTCTCCTTCCCTCTATCATTTAGCTCTGTATCGTTCACTTCATCTTAGATATCCATCATTTCTGAACCGAAATGGGGTTAATGTTGAGTACCTCAATTCTGCAATTTTCATCGGTTACCTCTTCTGATGATTAGAATATTTCGTGTTTTGTGCTTGATAATTTTCTTCTTCTTCTTCTTTCGCCGGATCCTTTTTTTTTTTGGCAATCCCGTACTAGTTCCTTCGCCTGGGCGTTTGTCGATTTGAAATTTGTTCTGTTTTAGAACGCAGTGGAAATAGAATTGCGTTGAACGCTTTGAATATAGAAGTTTTAGTCAGTAATGGTGTCCGCGAACGATCCAGTTGAGTCTTTCTTCAATTCGATTCAGGTTGTGAAAGAAGTGCTTTCACCACTCGAAATAGGTATTCGGAAGGCAGCGAAAGATCTTGAGCATTGCTGGCCAGCCTGGCCAGAGCCTAAGAAAAAGGGAAATGGTGTTCAGTTGATCGCCGAAGTGAGTGAAGCGGGCAAGTTTCAGATCTGTAGTGTGAAGAAGAAGAAGAATGGTCAGTGTGTGGTTATTGATGAGAAAAAGAAAGGGTTATCAATAAAGATTCCTTTGAAGGCTTTCTTAGATATGTTTTCTCAGAATTCAGGAAGTGGGAATAAAGCTGCTGGGTTGGGTAGAGGGTCAAAAGAGGAGGAGTTTGCCAAGGAAGATGGGCCTTGCACAAATTGCTTCCGGTTTGCAGTTACTTGGTCTGTGCTGTTTAATGGGTTTTTGCAGACTTTGCCAGTGCCTTTTAAATCAAGCAAGAAGCGGTTCCAGAAAACGGGTGGTGAAGATAAATTGTGCTCGTGCATGGAGCCTAGCGTTTCATATGAATTGAAGCAAACAGAATCTAAGGGCCACTTCGTTAGAAAATTTAGGGACAAGGGTAGGAGACAGGAGGGAATTCATATTTCACTTGAATGCCTCTTAGGTTTTATTTTTGATCAATTAGCTCAGAGTACTCTTCAGAATCTTGATGGGGGAGCACTAGAAAACGATCGGGACTGCGATAAGACTTTTCTTCCCCCACCTATTCCATCTTACTCTCATCATTTGAAAGCACTGACTAATATTTTGGAAGGGCAAAAAATATTTGTAAATGGTTTCTTGGGAAATTTAAGATTTGCGAAAGTGGGTCTGCCATCAGGTGTTATAGTAAACCCTTCAGCTAAAGAGGGTGATGGTAGTGCCACTGTTGAAGGCAGGGAAGAAACTGGTGGAAGTCCTGCGCAGAAGGTTGCCACGAACTTACTCAGTATTCCTCTATCAAATGTGGAGCGTTTAAAGTCCAGCATTTCCACTATTTCTTTGTCAGAATTGATCGAGCTTCTACCCCAGATTGGGCGTACATCTAAAGATCATCCAGACAAGAAGAAACTATTTTCTGTCCAGGATTTCTTTAGATACACAGAGGCTGAAGGTATTTTTTTTTAAATATAGTGGAAGATGTTGCATGTTGCTTGCATTGCATGCATCGCTAATAAACTCTTTTTTACAACTAAAATACCTGGTATGACGAAATTTAGAATCCCTTTGTTTATGTAAATATTTAATATTCTGAATGCATGCGCGGGCAGTGTATGTTTTGTCGAGGACAGTAATGGGAGGGAATGGAACCATATAAAAGGTCCAATACTTGGATGTGACTACTTTCCGCTATGGTCAGTATCAGTAATGAGGACAATATGGTTTCTCGACGGAATTTCTGCTTCTCCTAGATTATGCAAACTGCATTTATGCAAGCTACGAATGACTCTGATAGGGATTTATATTGTTTTTATTATGTTACTACTTAAGCCCAACTCGTGCATGTTCATTCTGTCGGTAATGGGATGAGTTGTATTTCCAACATTAATGTGCAGCTGATGTATGAAGTGGTAAAGGAACTCACAAGTTCTGCGATCCACACAAGGATCAAGATATGGCACCTAGCGTATAATTTATGTTCCAAGAGCTATATTGTGGCTGTATTGTAACTAAAGGTGCCATAATTGGAGGAAATGATAATATAGGTTAGTTTGGGGAACCTGACTATGGAGGGCTTGAATTCCTCGGAAATAATTTTTTTTTTTTTAAAAAAAGATTTGGGTTTGTTAAGGTTGAGGGAACAAAAGGTAATTGGTTTCAATAAACTGGTTGTTGGAGCTTTCTGTCAGACTGAAAGATCTAGATCTGCTTCTACTGATTCAATTAGGCCATTCAAGGAGTGAGAGGTTAGAGGAGTGTAAAATACAAACTCTATAAACCTCTGTTTGGATTTTGATGTTGACTTATATGTTGTGTAAGGAGCGACAGGAAATGGAAGATTGCTTCTGAGTTGATGGAAGCAACTCTTAGAAGGGGACTGGGCTGTGTTAGGATGCTTTAATTGGAGAAAGATTACCATCCTTAAGGCAGTGATAAATCATCCTAAATTGGCGTAGTTGTAATCATGGAAGACTTAGTCTAATTCTAAGGTTGCACGCACCATGTCATCATCAGGCATCACACCTATGTGCCATTTCATGTAATATAATTTGTGTTTATGATTGACTAATTGGAGTCTTGGATTAAGGTCTCAATTTAAGATGCCATCGACACTAAAGTAAAAATATGTGATGAAGAATGTTAGACTAGTAATGACAAATTTAGTTATCTAGAGACAAATACCTGTGAGAACTAGTAATGTACAATTGTTCTAGAATTTCAAGTACACTTATGATTATCTGCATATCTATTATCGGGTCCTTTTGGGGGTTTCTAGTGTATGTGTTTCTGTTGCATCATTTGACATGCTATGTCTCCTTGTCCATGCTTCAAAGACTAAATAATGATATTGTAGTGCATAAAGAGACAACTTATATACAGTGCTTATATTTCAATGTTAATTTTCTCCAGCATGGGTAAATTGGTTGCCTAGAAGTGATTTTGCTAATGAAGGTTACTTTACTATCAGTTAGCATGCGGGATTCAACTTTTTAAACATACGCTGATTCCATACATTTACGGGGAATTTATTTCTTACAGGGAGAAGATTCTTTGAGGAGCTGGATACAGATGGCGATGGCCAAGTGACTTTGGAAGATCTAGAAATTGCAATGAGAAAAAGAAAATTGCCGCGTAGATATGCTCATGAATTTATGCGCCGTACCAGAAGTCACATATTTTCTAAGTCTCTTGGGTGGAAACAGTTTTTATCTTTGATGGAACAGAAAGAGCCAACAATTCTTCGTGCATATACTTCTTTGTGTCTAAGCAAGTCTGGAACACTTAAGAAGAGTGAGATATTGGAGTCATTAAAGAGTGCAGGACTTCCTGCTAATGAAGACAATGCAGTTGCTATGATGCGATTCCTTAATGCTGACACTGAAGGATCTATTTCTTATGGACACTTTCGCAATTTTATGCTTTTGCTTCCCTCTGATCGTCTTCAAGAGGATCCTAGGTAAAATAAGCTTGATAATATGAAGTACTGACGATGTTGGATGCATCTTACATTATATTATATGTAAACTTGTTCATCAAGAGTATAAGTGTTTGGTTGTTGTCAAATGATGTAGTTAATGTTCTTCTCCATCCGTAGCATATAAATAAACCAACAGTTCTGGA